TTATCTTTCCCTGAGCCTCCTTTCCTTCTCTTTGTCTTCATTCTTGTTCTTCTCCTTCTGCTCCTTGTTTTATTTGTCTCATATTTTCCTCTACTGTGTCTTCTCTCTAATATTCTACCCCAACTCTGATCTTTTTACTGTTTGCATGGAAATGAAGTCACTTTTTAAAAAGTAGGTAATTTCTTTTTTTTTTTTTTTTTTTTTTTTTGTCTTTTTTATCGGTACCGGGGATCGAACTCATGACTGCCTGCTTGCAAGGCAGGCGCTTATGCCGCTGAGCTAAACCTCCAGCCCCAAAAAAGTAGGTAATTTCAATGCCTTCCAAAGTCCACTCCCATAAGGACCTGTCTCTTCTCCAAACAGACTGCAGTGAGTCCCAGTTAGCAAGGACTGGCCACGTTGGTGTCAGGAGCCACCAAGCCACGGATGATATGCCAGGCACTGTAAAGGTTCTCTGGGTGGCCAAACATTGAAACTACTAGAATTCAATAATACAAATATGACAATTGAGCATATATAGGAAGTATCCCTTCCACTTCCAGCACACAGAACAGGTAGAAATGCTAGTTCAAAAGAAATGGGTGTTATGAATGATTAAAATGATAATCACTATATTGTGAATATTCTACTACAATAAAAATTAAGAATACAGGGCAATCAAAGTCAATCATTGTCAAACCAGGGAGAATGGAAAGTCAAGGTCATCGAAAGAGGAGATTATCTGAGCGTGTGTGTATGTGTGTGCACATATAGAAAGATTAAAGTTATGTAAGAGACAAATTCAAAATGAAGAAATAAAATCTTGTGACTAAGACCTTCCAGAACCTAACAGTGAAGATGCACTGAAGCCATGTGTCCCTTGTGTATGATGGAGTCACAATGTGCTGTGTTCCCAGGCCGGATCCAAGAGTAAAACAGCCAAGCCCCATCACTGTAGAGTTGGGGGAATTCTACCTAAAAGTTATAAAGCTACTCACATTTCTTTCAATATCCTCTCCGTCTAATCAACCACAGTTCAACATTAGACCATTCTGAAGGTTTCACTTCAGGCAGGAGACAGCACCAGAGGAATCTTGTGATAAACTCTGACTCAATTCTGTGTCTTGTGTCTCATGTCAGCAATAATCAATCAGCATAGAAATAGACCCTCGGTTTCCAAAACTGAAACTTTGAAATTTTACCTGGGACCAGTCGTTATTTTACTTGCCCAAACCCTTCACCAGATTTAGGTTACATGCATCCAACAGGCGGTCCTGACTGGTTTTTATGGATGTTAATCAACAGCTCCATTGTTGACAGACCATTCAGAGACAGTCAGCTAGACATGCCAGCTTCTTCACCAAAATCATGGTGGGCCTTCCCCCAAGGGCTGTGCAAGCTGAATGAGCATAGAAGCAGCAGAGCACAGTCATTCAAGCCCGATTACTGCAAACTACTATTTTCCATCCTATTCTTACTATTATTCTCACCCTTTAACCTACCAGGACAGCTTCCTCCAGGACCCCGACCTCAGAAAGTGGTGGTCTCCTCTCGCCCCGGCCTGATTGACCAAGGGCTTTTCCATTCCCTCGTGCAGCAGTGCCTTCCATTTGCATAAGATGGTTGAAGCTTGCTACATGCCTTCATGGGATTACTAACCCAGCTCCTAAGAAGTAGGAGAGGGGGTCACAGTCACGGTCTTCAAGCAAGATGCAGGGATTCAAGGCAGTCGGGGAGTTGCCCAAAGTAACACAGAAGAGCCAGAGCTGCAGGTTCCCACTTCACTGGTGCCAGGTGGTCTCACTTTCCAGTCACCTCCCATTCTGTCTTGACACTGACTGACTTGAGCTGCTCTGCATTTTTTATGTTTATTGTGATAAAATATGTGGAAGGTAAGATTTACCATAGCACACAGTTCAGTGGCACTGAGTACATTCACACTGCGGTGCCACCTTAAGCACTGTTCATCTCCAGGACTTTTTTCTCATCTCAAGCTGCAGCTCAGTTTCCTTTAAACATCAGCTCCTCTTGCTCTTTGTGCCCAGCCCCTGGTAGCCCTGTTCTATTTTTTATCGTTATAAATTTGACGATCCCGGAAATTTCGGATAAGTAGGATCATATTTGTACTTTTGCATCTGGATTTTTTTTTCATTTAGTGATTTTTCAAGGCTCATTCCTGTGATAGCATGTATCAGAATTTCTGGGTTTTAAAGCTGAATGATATCCCATTTTACATAAATACCACCCTATGGTCATCTATTCATCTCTCAATGTACCCTTCCTGAGACACAGGACTTTTATTTGCTTCAAAAAATAATATCTCTCCCAATTATATAAAGTCTGGTAGAAGTACTAATTAAGGTTTTCTAAGCAGAAAACAACCCAAGTAACTACTCTGTCTTGGAATTAGAAACTCAAGCAACATAATAAACAGAATAACTCCTGAACTCAGGCAAGACTATGTAAAATATTGACATGTACTCCAGTCAGGGATGCAGGAAAGGGTTTCCCCAGGAAAAGATGTTTGAGAAGAGTTTAAAAGACAGTAGACTAAGCAGGAGCTCCCTAAGTGGACTAGTGGGGGAGGGAGGTTGTATGTAGAACACTGGGTTTTATAGAAAATCAGAACGGACAAAAAGTTATGTGATTGAAGATGCCCTGGCCTCTTTGCCTCCTAAAATTTCACTACTTCCATTATTATTTTTTCCTGCTTCCCCATGTATTTTCTTTCTGAAATTGTTTTGATATACATATCATATCCAATGTTGAATTCACAGTACCCCCTTGTAGACCAAGAGTGATCAGGTTTGCCAAGGACCCAGCTTCTGTGGTCCATTTCTTGCCTATCTCCTCTTCTTTTTCACACACACACCATCCACTTAATCACTTCACATGCTCAGCCCAGAGAAGTGGGAAATGCTGGAGCAAAAGGAGCACCAGACTCAAGTCAAAACAGGGGCAAGCTTAATCCTGACCTGGTACCTTAGTTCTAATAACCAGGCAGCTTAACAAGGGGTCTCTTACCCAAGACTCAGCAAGAGCTCACAATTAGGACACCTTCCTGATGTGCCCTTCCTGATGTGCCCTTCACTATCTGGCATCAGGACTTGGTCTGCTTTTTCTTCTTACCCTGCTAGGAATCAGAGACCCATCCTGAATACCAGCAGAGCTGCCACTGTCACCAGCAGTCTTCCTAAGGCTGCATTGTTCAGCAGAGTTCAGGGTCATCTCCTGCTTATTTCCTGTCTTATGGTTCTGCTTCAGACAAGATGGAAGGCACCCTTCTGCCTCCAGCTACGTGCAGGGACCTGGTAATCACTGCCACCATCATGCTGTTACTTCCTGACCCAGCTTTGCTGGATCTCTGGCCCTTAAAGACCTGCCTTGGTCTTTGAGTACACATCCATGACAGGGGTCTGGCTTTTCTCAGTTTCCTGCAGTTAATCAGGCCACAGTGCAGTCATGCCAGCCCGTGGGCTGAGAGACTGCCCAGTCACCTTTCCTTCCTCCCAGACCTGAGTTCTTTCATACACCACCCAGCTCCTATAACTAGTAAATAAACTAGGACCTGTGAGCTCTGATTCAGATATAAAAATAATTCATGATTAGAAACCTTTATTTTTTTCCCCTTAAGAAACCCTGACAAGCTCAGAATGACATTTTCTTAGCTGGTCAAGAAGCACTCTGCAATGAAGTTCTACTCAGCCTGATGAAACTCAGAGTGTCTGCAGATTGACAGAGACCATGAGCCACAAGCCAGGTGGCCTGGAGCCACCTGATTAGATCAGGATGCACAAATAGATGTGACCAGATCTCACCTGCTTCTCTTCCTAATGTCAGCCAGGATTTCCATGGGGACAAGCTGCAGATGGCTGCTGGGTTTTTCTGTTCAACCTTCTGCAGCATGGTCTCATGGCTCATGGATGCTCCAGGCAGTAAGAAAATAAAAAGCAACTATTCTCTCCAAAACTATGTAGGAACATACCCTTCAGACCTCATAAATGCCCAGCCCTCTTAGCAATCCTGGTACCAAAAAGTACATTTCAGCATGAGTTACCTCATGTGCCAGGCCAGCAGGGAGGACAACCAGCCAGCCTGGACTCGTTCTCTGTTCCTGATCTGTGGCACAATTTTAAAACAAGATAAGAAGTGTGTCTCCTAACATATCCCCATTCCCTGCCACCCAAGTAGAACAAAACCACTCAGCCATTTCCTTAAACACCACAGAGGTTGCAAAAAGGCCATAGTAGGAAACTGTACCAGGGAACATTAGCTGGCACACTACCTCACATGATGTCTCGGGCTCAGTAACCTAATACAAATTCCCATAATCTCAGTGCTTTATCATATTTAGCAATACTCAATGGCACAAATGCTTGTGCAGACCTCTGAGGAGCCCGTGATCCAAGCTCTGAGTACAGACTGTTCTGACGGTATCTAAGAAATACCTAAGGGTGGGGGAGATGAAGGAGGGTAAAGAATATTTGATGGTACAGATATTTTAAAAATCCGCAGATCTGCACACTAATAAAATTCCTATGTAAAAGACAAAAAATGAAAAATAAAAAAGAAGAGGAAAAGAAGGAACAGAAAAGGGGGAAGAAATGCAAAAAAGGAGAAAGCAAGGAAGCTCCCCACTCTCTCCCACCCCCAGAGAAGGTGCCCACTACCATACATCACTTCCTGGCCCAGCAAAACCAACAGCAGTATAACACACCACGGCCACACGGCTATCACTGCAACCCTCTGCCCGTACTTTGAATGACTGACTTTGGAGACAATTGAAATAGGGTATAAAAAGCTATCTATTGCTTTTTAAATGAACTAAATCATTTTTCCTGTGTTTTTCAAGACAAAGGAGGTGCTTTCTGCAGCAAAGGAGAGGTGAGTGAGAAGGTGAGGGTGTCGAACAATCCCAAGTCATCACAGTACTTTATAGATGTCTGCAGCCATCTGTCTGGGTCTTTGCTTATGATAGCAATTCATAATGAGCAGTCAAAGGCAGAAATAGCAACACTTACCTTATCATGCTGCAGAACGTTAGATTCTTTCTATAAACAATACAGTGCAAAGGTTCAGGGACAGTAAGGAATCTGACTTGAAGCAATTTTTCCACTACTCATCATTTTTGACAGTTACATGAAATCCACAGAAGGATTTTCTTGTCTAATTATTTCTAGGCTTAAAGTTCAGGGAGTTGGTCTTTCTCAAGATTAGGATGCACTAACTACATCCTGAGGAAAGAGTGCAGGACGCTTTATGCAGTTACTGCCCGGGAGATGTGAACTCTCTCTGCCTGTACTTAAGATAGCAGAGAGGGCAGGAGAGGGCAGGTCAGCTGTCTCCTCTCACTGTAACAGCTTCAGTAAGCATTTTAGTATGGCTTCCATGGGGACAGGGGGGACAGTATTGCTTACACTCTGATGACAAAGCGCAGATCATAGACCACTAATTCAGCCTGAATCTAGCCAGTGGCTCCAGGAGCCCAGGGAGTTATATATAACTCTCCAAGAACTGCTTCCTGGTGATTTACGACTGTGATGTGGAGAAGAGCACATTCCCCTGAAGGTACTTGAAATCAATGCAAAAAGGATTTCAGAAGTAAGTATTGTGCTGAACTTTAAATACCAGATAAAAAGTTAAAAATGCCCCCTGAAGAGTTACTGCTGATATTTCAACTTTTCCCCTTTTGAGTGATTCTCACATACTTTGATTTCTTAAGAATAGTCATGAAAATCAAATTTGCCCTGTTGAGAAATTCCGAACTCCAGCTGTTAATTCCGCATAGCTGGTCTGGTGATCTAACGTGGGGACACTTATTGCAGTGTTAAAGGGAGTGCACTCTGTGCCCCCCAGGGAATCAGCACCTGGAGTCAGAGTCCCAGAGATCTCTGGCTGCTCAATAAATCACACAGAATTGAGACCACACCCTGCCCAGCAGCCCCACCACCCTGAACAAGGGCGCCATGTAACTTTAACAGAGTCCTCCAGGAAAGGAGTTTCTACTCTGTTCCACCATTCACTACATCTGAGCTTGAAATATTAAAGTGAAGCATTTCCTGTTCTCATATAAATTCATTTCCAACAACTGTAATTAAGAACCTTTTTTTTTTTTTTGCTCTATATCTTGCCCTCAGTGAAGACAGAAGCCAGCTGTTTACTGTATGTGGGTGGTAGCTCCAAAATACTTATCAGAATTCACAATTATTGTCCTCAGAAGACCTCTACCTTTTGAATACTTCTGGCTGTTCTGTATTCCAGAACCACTGATGGGGACTTTTTGTTGTAAAATCTTAGGCAAACTAACAAACCTCTCTGGCCGAGGGGAGAGAGCTCCACAGGGTGATCTCATGATCTCTGGCAATCTACGTTGTTATGATTCAGTGACTCCTCCAGTCCTTAATATTCCGAGGAATATTTCCTCAGTGCTGTTTTGGAAACCGTTGAGTCACACTGGAATTAATTACCGTTATGAGGTTGGAGCATAATGATATCTTTGAGGGTAAGAGTGAACTGAGGAATGTGGAGGAGGCATGGGACGAGTTGTGGGGTGGGAAACCTGTAATCAGATGACAACAGATGGTCCATCATAGGCCAGTAGACAAGATTAGGCAAATTCCCAGCACCTGATGAGTGGCCAGCTGCAATCAGAAATGTGATTATTACTAGAAGTTCTGCCTGTCATTTGTTTGACAGAAGTCTCTGAGTAGTGACGATGATAGTCTGCCCAGGCTGAACCAGCACTGCCCAAGGCTGCCCAGCGTGGGTACTCAGGACTATTAGATTTATGAATGCCAGGATGCAGCCCAGAAGGCTTACTGTGGGTACCCACGAACAAAGCATCTTCGGATTCTACATCCCGAAACATTCACTGGCAGATGTGAAGTGAAGGACTTGGCCCTGGGACATGCTAAGGATGAATCTGTGCCTATTGGCTTGCAGGGCACTCCAAAGAAAGGATCCTAAGAATTATGAAAAGATAATGTCTAAGTCCAAAAGCAGGTGAACTATCCCAGAGCAGCCTGCTACCTTCTGTAAGTTCTTCCTCCAAAGGCCTCTTCCCAAAGACTGGGCATGCTGGGGCACTAAAAGACATTGTCCACCTGAGACCTAACCCAGGCAGGCGTACCAGGGTGTCTGGAGGAAAGTGTTCTCTCCAATTACACTGGGTCTCCCAGATGCCTGATGACCACAGTTGTTAAAGCAGCTTAAGTCGAGAGCAAGACAGATCTGGTATATATGGCCTGGATATCAGGGAGCACAACCCCTAGCCCCAAGGAAAAAGCATCACTAGGAGGAGTGTAAATACCCTCATGAATATTTAGAAAAGGCTGATCACCATATGTTTAAAAAATAAATATAATTCAAAGAGGACCCACTGGTCCAAATGAAAGTAAAAGTATCTCTCCTGCTAATAGGCTAAAATCCCTTTCCCATCCTTAGTTCTTGGTGCCAGAAGTCATCATTTATAATTAATTCTAAGTTTAGGCCTTCAACACCATGTAACTACCACACATCTGTGCCTGTATTTCTGGCTTTATCAACTTCAGCTAACATCTATTAGTGTCTTGCGATGGAAGACAGGAAATTGAGTCCACTTTCGCTTCTTAGCTCACTTGTATTTCAACTTCCAGTGCTTATTAGTTGCGGTACTATTTTAAGGAGATTAATGGTAAAATGCACAACTTTAAATAATACACACAAATTTCTATTTCTTGATTTATCCACTTTTGAAAATACTGATTCTGTAAGATGAGGAAAGGAATTCACAGCCACAAACCTTAGTTCCCATTCTTTCTCCAGCCCAAATTCCAGATGATTAATGTCCAGGCTTGTAGAATTTGCACTTGGACCTGTAATTTTAAGTCAGTTGTTTTACATTGTGACTATAGCTTGACAATGAAATTGAAAACATTAAAATGAGAAATGCTCATAGCATTAAAATTATATAAATATGAATCGCCAAATCAAGTAATGTAAGGCCCGTAGGATGGAAAAAGGATTATACATTACCAAAAGTGTCCACTCAAAAACAGTGAACGTTATTTTTATTTACACTACTTCTGTTTTCCAAGTTATATATCACATTTCAATTTGCTTCATCATAAGACCTAAAGTTTTGCTGTTGTTGGTGGTGTTTCTTTTATTTTATTTGACAGGATAAACATTTAACTTGTAAGAGAGGGGAAAACATTTTCCTCTACCTTCTTAAGTTATGGGGCTAGGGCTTGCAAATTAGACTGATAGAAGATAGATTAACAGGAAAAAAGGGAATACAGATTGTGTTTGATGTTAACGTTTTATTTGCTATATGCTCAGAGTCCTTCCTAGCAAAGAAGGGGGGACCCAAATAAGCTGTTACAGACGGCTTTATGTCGTCTTTTAAAATGGCAAAAATTATGAGAAGTGAAAAAACAGCTTCTAGGAGTCATAAATTGTGGGAAGATAAATACTGCTTAGGAAGGAAACTAATGAAAAATAAATATATGGGAGACCGGAGGAGATATAGCTCAGCGGCACACGTGTCTGCCTGGCAAGCGTGAAGTCGTGAGTTTGATTCTCGATACAAAAAAAGTATATACATGTACATCCCACACACACCTAGGGGAAGTCAAAATTAATGGTAGACACATGATTTTGGTGAGGTTTCTTTATGTAGATGCATCTTGGTGCCGTCTCCATCTCCTTGTTAAGAATGTCTTCTTAACACAAAAGCCAAGACACTTTAACAAAGAAATTTATGTGCTAATTTTAGACAGCAGGGGAGAAGGAAATGGGTTTCCCTGCTTTTGCTTTCTTAACTGTATTTGCTTAAGTAATTGCTATGCTCAAGTGCCATTTTCTGGGGTTGTCACATTCTGAGCCCTTTAACATTTTCACATACCTAAGATCTTCCAGATACTTACGTGTATTTTGTTAATTTTCCTAAAGACATTTTTCAGTCACCATGCCCTGTCTTCCCTGTGCTAATTTGGGTCAATTGCTTTTCTAGGCCTTTTTTTAGATTTGACAATTTGGAACTGTTTATTTCATTCTTTAGTCAATTCTTTTATTTATTGGATTCATGTTTTGTAGGAGGAGAGATAAAAAGAAAAAAAAACTTGCCTCATTCATGAATAATATAATTATAAAATTTAGGTTCAAAAGAACTTTCCCTGGGAACTTTGAAGCCTTCTTCCTCTGTCTGCTAGTATCAATATTCAAAAGAAAACGTGTGATGACAATCTCAAGCTTATTTCTTGTAGGTATTCTAATAATTCACTCTGTAAGCTTATAGTATTGGAATATTTTTTATTTCAGTTGAGTGTTTCTGAGTATTTTGCATAAAAAAAGTTATTTTTGTTCAGCAAAATTATGTCTTTTTTTATTTTCCTCTGTTTTCTGTTTTCCCATGTTTTATTATCTGTGTATTAATAACTTTCTAGATCTAATCTCTATCTCAACATCTTTGGTGTATTTTCTTTTTCTGTCACTCTCTACATTCTGACCTATTATCTCAACTTCATCTTCCAGATCACTAATTTAGTTTTCAGCCATATGGATGATTTGATTCTATTCATTTTTAAAAATTTACTTGGAAAAATCAGTGTTTAATTTCTCAAGACCTCTTTCACATTCTCAGTTTATTCCATTTTCATAGTAGCCTATTCCTATTTATGAATACACTATTCCTTCAAATTCTCTGAGATCAATTCGATTTCAATATTTCTTTCTCTTTCCTTTTTGTTTTTTTCTAGTACTGAACACAGGGTCTCACACGTTGGGCAACTGCTCTATCACTGAGCTACTTCCCCAGCCCTTTTTTATTTTTTTTTTTAAGACACAGTCTCATTGTAACCCATTCTGTCCTCAAACTTGCAGTCCTCTTACATTAGCCTCCAGTGTAGCTGGGATCAAATTCCTTTCCTCAGCTACCTTTTTTTTAGGGGGGGGGGTTCAGTTATTCTTTCACATATCTTGATATTTCTCTTCTACCAAATATTTGATAGATCTTAGTTTACTGATAATCATTCTTAGTAAAAAGCACACTGATTCATTCATATAGGGAGCTGACAAAATGATTTTTTTGCAGCTTAGAAGAGCAGTTTACCCATAAGTCATCGTGGTACAGGGACTAACTCCACATTCCGTGGGTGAGTGGATCAGCGACAAGCTTCTCTTTAGGCTTCTATCTTCATTAACCCCGAAATAAGGACAACGCTGAGAGGAGGATGAGATTCTCTGTGCAGTTATCCATTTCCATGGATTCTACATCCCTGGATTCAACCAACCTACATGGAAAATAACTCTGAACATGGACCTGAATGGTATACAGTACAGCAACTATTTATAGAGCATTTACACTGTAATCTAAAGATGACTGAAATGTACCAGAGATGTGCATGTACCTACAAATGCTCTACCGTTTTATATAACGGACTTGAGCAACCTTCGACTCTGGGATCTGCAGGTGGGGGAGTAGCAGGTACCCTGGAACCAAACTCCACAGACACAGAGAAACCATGGTCTCTTACTCCTCAGTGGAGCAGCCTTTCCCTTCCTCTTCCCCTGAGTTGCATGGAAGCCCCAGAGCTAACTCAGGATTTATTTGCACCAACAACCATGTTAGTCTTATCCAGGAAGATGTCCTAGTTGAGTCCTTCTTTTGTCACTAGCACAGAGCAAATGTTGTAGCCGGCTGCTTCTGAGATCTGAGAGGTAAGGAAGAGACACCCGAGCCAGAAATTCCAGTGTCTTCTAATTCCTCATCACACCAAATGGGAGGTCAGGCCTAACCTCAAACCTACTGGAGCCGAACCTACATTTTAGTGGTGCTCCTGGTGACCCAGAGCATCAACTCTATGAAGCACAGCTTGTCAACAATTTGTCTCTATCCCAGAAGTGCCTGTTCTCCAGCTTTGATGCCTCCAAGATGGCTGGGGCTCAGCCAGGAAGAGACACCCCACTTTCCCGCAGATTCTGCCCCAGGTACTTCTTCCTCAGTGTCCATCAGGATGATCTACTTTCTTTTTTTTTTAAATCAGTACTGGGGATCGAACTCACGACCGCCTCCTCGCAAGGCAGGTGCTTATGCCGCTGAGCTAAATCCCCAGCCCTTACTTTCCTTTCTTAGTGAGCAAATATCTCTGACATATGAAATAATAAATACCTGTAACCCCATAACCTAGCTTAGAAACAGTGCTGTACAAATGTAATCACCTCCCTTGAGAATGCTCATCATCATTTCTGGATATAGCATGGCAGCCCCACAACCACAGATGCATCAGTCCAGTAAGATTCTGTGACATTTAAGTACAGACCAGAAAGATGCCCGGCCCTGCTGCTGTGAGGAGCTTAGAAAGTATGAGGTGGCCTGGGAAGAGTAAAGTCTGGAGTCTGAACTCACCCACTTTGATGGACTGGAACAGACTGGAAAAGACTGGAGCAGGAGGCCAGAACATTACAGGCAAAAGTGATAACCACTGGCTGCTGGGGTGGTTATAGCACAGGAACAGCAAAGGACACGGTGGAGAGTTGAAAGTTAGGAATCTGTACAATCCAGTACCATTGCTGGATATTAACAAGGCTGACTGATGGTTCTCAACATTTGTGAACAAGCCGACATCTTAAATCCTAAGTAAAATTATAAAATTTACTCTTCCCACTACCACACACTCAGAGCACCAGGGAGATCTCATTGCATTCTTCTGTGTACTGGGAGTTGAGATTTTCAGAGAGGAGTAACACGGGGAGAGGAAAAGCAGCAGACTTGGAGGAGGAACCCAGCACAGTATGCACCCTAAATCCTAACTGCTTTGGGGCTTCTATAGCACAACCCAAGACGGGTGTGAGATTGTCAGAGATCATGAGTCTTCGGGTCTGACGCTCAAATCCCATCTCTTCCCCATAGCATTTGCATGCTTTTGAATATGCCATTTAACCTCCATAAACCTCAGTTTTCTCCGCAGATCATTTGGCAATCCAGAAATAAAGCATTCACTATACATTTACTAGTAAAAGTCCATACATAAAAGAGAACGAGGATAAGGAGGAATAATAGACAAGTCAAGAACGTGTATGCTGTGCTTGTTATGAAAATTACTTAACATTTATTACTTCTTGTAGGAGTAGTAAACTGTAAGCCTCATTTACACTCAGAATTAGAATTGCTTACAATTAACAGTAGAAATGAATCACACTATTTTCTCTTTGTGTTCCAAATTTTCCATCCAAAAGTAGAGTAGCTGCTTCATTTTTCTCTGTCTTGTACAGGTATATTTAGCACGATCAATAGTGCAAGCCCCTTTAACAAATTCCAAAGATGTTCACTCTCCCTCTGCGTAATGAACTACAAGAGATCAGCTAACCACACTAGATGGAGCAGGAGCCCATCTCCACAGCCTCCTCAAAAGCAGAAATTAAATGGTAAATTGATTTTTCTCAGGTTGATAGATTTTTAACCCTATCTTTGCAAATGAATGTGTCTTGTTATTAGTTATCCCCAAGAAGTCAATCAAGATGATGGCGAAAATACTATGAAGATATAACCTGAGAGGAGATTGGTGATCACTGGGCTTCGTTGTTGCACCATCCTATTCAGAAGTCTCTTTTGCTCCAGTGCATACAGAAAATAGACAACATCTCTTCACTAGCTGGTGAAGAACATTACCTGCTGAGGATAAACTAGAGATGACACCCTGCAGGGTCAGGACAGGGCTGACGTGTATGGTAGCATTTCCATTTGCCACACTGGACACTGATTCTCTGCTGCTGGGTGTTGGCTGGAGCAGGCGCTCCATGGGCAATGATTAGTGTTTGACAGTGATGGTCTTGATTTCTGTGAAGAAGTCGTAAGAGTCCTTGGCGCCTTCTCTTCCTACCCCTGAGCTCTTCATGCCCCCAAAAGGCAGGTTCAGCTCCCTGATGAGCCAGCAGTTGGTCCAGACCAAACCTGACTGCAGCTTCTTCGCCACCCGGTGGACACGGCCCACGTCGCTTGACCACACAGTGGCCGCCAGCCCATACTTAACGTTGTTGGCCCTTCTGAGCACTTCCTCTTCACTATCAAAGGGGACGACACACGTCACTGGGCCAAATATCTCTTCCTGCATGCAACAGGACTCATCTTTAATGTCTGTTATCACCGTGGGAAGCATGAAGTAGCCTGCCTGATGCCTGAGGGGAAGATTCAACTTATCTACTCCCTCTCCACACAGAATACGGGCCCCTTCAGCTTGGGCTCTCTTGATGTAACTTCTGACCTGGACAGGGGAAAAAACCAATTAGTGACTCTTTATCATTTGGTTTTATAAAAATCAGCAAAAACATCAAAGCTCTCTAATCACCAAAAGCAATATAAGGTCATAGCTAAGGAATCTAAGGTTATTATTATTATTTTTTTTTGTAGTACTGGGGATTAAATCCAGAATCCTCACTTGAGATAAATCTCCAGCCCTTTTTCACTTTTTATTTTGAGACAGGGTCTCACAAATTTGCTAAATTGTCCAGGCTATGATTACATTTATAATCCTCCTGCTTCAGGCTCCCAGAAATCTATGATTATCTTGATACTTGGCTGCTCAGAGGTGTTCCAACCATCATTTGGGCATTCAGACTTGGTGTATAGGGGGAGGGGAAAAATTTATTTAATGTCGAAGTGCCAGGCATCCAGATGTTTTTTGTGTATTTTCAATCCCCCCCCCCAATTCTATCAGTTATTTTTATCTCTTGCTATCCTCTATTTGCTGAGGAAATGACTGAGAGACAGAAAGTATTCAGAGTTCATATAGTTAATGAACAGTAAAGCTAAGTTCATGTTCAGGTATATTCTGTAGCTAAATACACAAAAAGGTATTCTCTTTGGGATGAAGAACTGTGCCCATTGTAGAAAGTGGGAGGTAAATTACGTGTAAGATTAAGTTAAAGACTGAGCCTCTAGAACAAAGAACTTCTAATCTCTAGTATCATTACTGATTTTATTTTGAAAATATAGCTGATAATGTTATATTACACTACATTATTCTATTATATATCATATATATGGAGAGAGAGAGAGAACTAACTATATAATAGCACAATGACTCAGAGATAATGATGGATGACTTTTCTTGAAGAGGCTAAAAGGTTTTTTGTGTTTGTTTTTCCCTCAGAAACTTAATGCTGAGTTATGTTAGCAGGACAGATGGCCAGGACCTACCTATGCACTTTAGACCCAATTCCAGGTAGTTTAAACCAAGGATCAAAAAGAATTCAAAATGAGTACAGCAAGTCTGAGACAAATAGCATAACTGGATTATACAACATAGTGTGGACTCAATCACTCAACTAGTACTGTTCACCTACCATGTCTCAGGTGCTTTTCTAGGGTTTGAATCTGACCATGGAGCTTACATTGTTTGCATGTTAGATGGTGTTAAGATGATGGGAAAAAAGCACTAAAGAGGTAGGGAAAGACCTAGAATATTTGGTTTTCAAGAAAAAAGGGTTGAAAATCCTCACTTCAGAGGGTGGCATTTGATTCAAGAAGACAGAGGAGAAAGCCAAGCAAATGTCCAACAGAACCCCTGCTACTATTTGTCTACTCTGATCTTGTTATAACTGTCATGTTTTGAAAATTCCGTTCTGCAGGTGATATTCCAAACTGACTTTATTCCAAGTTATTCATTGCAGGTGGGTACTGCTTTAACCCCATTTGCATAGTTATATCTAAAATGTTCAGACTCCATCCATAAACAGTTTCCCATAGTTCAAAAGCAATTATAATATGTCAAAGCCTGATATGTGCTCTGCTCGCACCGAGATTCTCCTCAAATAAGAACTTCCTATAAGTTACAGGGCAGAGATTTACTTACTTTCTCCAAATGTGCTTTACTTATCAGAGCACCCATGCAGGCTGATGGGTCAGAAGGAATACCCACTTTCCATTTCCTGGTAGCTTCTACAAATCTTTTCAAAAATTCACTGTAGATGCTCTTCTGCACAAAGATCCTGCTGGTACAGAGGCAGATTTCACCCTGTCAAGAATGAGGACAATGACAAGACTGGAGGACATTCTCCTTCACGGACAGTTCTTTGGAGCATCGCCATGTATCAGGCCCTGGTCTAGGCAATGGGAACCTGTGATAAAGGAGACTAAGCCCCCACCGTGTGGGATGCACAATCTTGTAGGAAGACTGAAAAGCACACAAGTTAAACATTGGAAATGTAACTCCAGGTAATAATCAAAGAAATACATGAAAATCAAGCAATCCTGGGGAATACAAACTGTTGGGGCTGGGGCAGTTATTTTACTAAGAGGAGACATGGAAGGCATTTGCAAAGAGGGGGCATTTCAATGGACTCTTGCTAGAAGAGCTGAACAGGCAAAGACCTGGAGGAGGGAATTCTCAGCAGCAAGCATGCAGAACTGCTTCAGGAAGAAGCCTGGTGGCGGGGTGGGGTGGAGGCAAGGTGAGTAGGGCTGAGGATGGGAGCAGAGGCTGGGAGAGGATGTGTGGTGGGTGACAACGTTGGGAGGTCACCGAGGCAACATCACGTAGTCTAGCAGGCTGATAGACGCTCACGTCTTATTGTCAGCATCACAGAGAGGTAATGGAAGGCTTTAAACAACAGAGCGAGATCATCAGATTTACACTTCTAAGTGACAGTTTCAGCAGCTGTGTGGAAAATAGGAGGAAATGAGAATGGAAACAGAGTGGAGAGCTAAGAGAATATTCTAAAAGTACAGAAAAGAGGCATGAGTTTGGACCAGGGCGACACCACTGGAGATGGAGAGAAGCAATGGGTACCTACTGAGTTCAAAATTCTCACAGAGGATGGGCACAAAGGCCTGGGAGATTGGCATAGAAGTCCTGGAAAAGTATTAGGTCTCAGGATAAATCTTACCTACCAGATCTGCTGATGGATAGGAGCGAAAGAGAAGGGAAGACTGAGGAAGAGGCCTAGGCCAGGGCCTGCACAGTAACGAGACAGGGAGAAGATCCGGGCTGCGGGGAGGGGAGAGACAGGGAGCCGGCCGGGGGTTCTGCGGGAGATGTGTTCAGTTCAGAAGCCTGACAAACATCCAATAGAGACTTTAAGTATTCAGGAGTGAGGTTCTGCATAATTCTGAGTGAGAAACAGTCCTTAGCATCCTTTCAATATAGCACATAATTGTTTTCAACCACATTCTACATATTTCAAGGCATATTGTATGCATAATGAGTTCATAAATGTGTAAATAACTACTTTGTTCGCCTTTATATTCGATCTTCACAACAGTCCTAGCAAATGGAAGGCTTCTACTTGTCTGCACAAAGGTTCATTATTCAAATAGAACAGTTAAATGTTCTGAAATAATAACTTCTTTCTGCCACCGAGATTGCTGTCAGAACTATTTGTATATCTGGCAGGGAAAACATCTAAGCACCTGACAGGTTCTTTGGCACAAATTCCTTGTGCTCTGTGGGGAAAAGGGACATGACAAGAGACCTGCGGCCTTTCCCATGTTTCCCATTCCTCAGTGCCAAGAAAGCACAGGTAGCCCAGAGAGCCCCCGGACAGTGACAGTGACAGGATGAGCAAAAGACAGTACCAATCTCTGAGCCTGTTACATTGCGGGGACTGTGTAGGGCACTTTCCCCACAACAGCTCTCTGGCAGGTTATATTCTCAGTATGCAATTGGGAAATTAAATTTTGAGATAATACATGCCCCTGGGTCAGCAAAGACGCTTTCCAAAAGTCAATTATATTCAATTAAGAAAGACGTGTGAAGTATGCTCTCCATGGAACTCATCACTCAGCTATGCAAAGCAATCAAGCTGTGCTATTTACTTTACCTAAAATCCGTCTGTCGTTTGGGTTGCCATGTCCATTTTCCCACTGAATTTGAGTTTCCCCAAAGGTTCTCTGAGCAAATGCAAATTTCTGCCCCGTTCCAGTAGAACAGCCTACTCTCCTTAACTACATGCTCAGCATCCATCACTTTAACACAGAGCTTCTCTCACTTCCTCTCATCTCAAGTCTCAGTCCGCAGAGGTTGTGCCTAGCTTGTCTGGAAGCTGTCAAAACTCTTAGTTTAGTTGTTCACTTTGTATTTGCTTATTTCCATAATTAAACCAGGTGTATCATGAAATGGTATTGTCTGTTGATCCAAAATTCCTCAATGTTTCTAACCAACCTTTCTAGAAATTACAGTAAGAGGAATCACTATTAATAATCATGAAATTAAAAATAACCATTATAACTATCATGAAGAACATAACTTAAAGTAGTATGTCTCACTTTAGCCACAAAATCTTGTTGGAAAGATTAGGATTGATCAAATGAGTGGAAGGGTTATGATGCACCACCTGAAGAAATACAGGTGCCGAAGGTTACATGCCAACAAATGTTGCCTGTGCTGGGAAAATACAGATTAACCTAATTTCACTCCTCCATCTTCCTATGCAAATTCTAGCTCTTTAGTGTAAGCTTTTGTTTTCTGCTAAAATAAAAATGTTATTTGGAGCAAATCTAGTATGCCCACCTGCTAGATCCTAGCAGTATTCTAAGCCTTGACACTAAAATTACTGCACAAAGGTTGGTAGTGTTCTTCCTTCAGGAAGCTGCAGTCTAGCTGGACTGGTCTGTGTTTTAGCCTTTTGAGGTGTCATGAACCGGAAGAATCTGACAAAAACCACCAGAGCCTACATGACTCCTGGCTGAGAAACCCGCTCTGGAAAATCAGAGATAATGGTAACTCAGTGCATGAACGTGTTTGGGATGGGTTTGGAGAAAGAATAATTCTACCAGGAATGGGACATTTGGGCAGCAATGGGAGACTGGGAGATTGTTAATCAAGAAATGTAAGCCAGGTGTGGTGGCCCATGCCTGTAACCCTAGCACTAGGAGGAATGAGGCAGAAGGACTGCCATGAGATCAAGGACCTTGTACCCCCCAAAAATAACCAAACAAATAAAAGAAGAAATGGAGGAGCTTGTGCAGAACAAGCAATCATTTTGCCCAAGGCAGGTACCTGACAGAAGGTCTGTGACTCAAGGAAACGAGATTCATGAACAGAAATTGTGACTCTGCAAGGCCACTGGTTCACGCTAGAATGATACATTTTTTGATCCTCCTTAACAAAAATATCTGGATTGCCCTACCCACTGCTATGCTTTGCACTTTGGTGAAAGAGATGCAGGTTGGTAGGCCCCTGGGGGAGGGGAACATGCAGAGAACATACTTGGTTGGCAAAGCTGGACCTGATGGTTGTTGGAATGCACTCCTCTAGGTTGGCATCCTCAAAAATGATGGCAGGATTCTTGCCCCCCAGCTCCAGCGAGAGCTTCTTGCAGTGGGGAGCACTGAGCTGGGTGATCCGCTCAGCAGTGGGCTGGCTCCCAGTGAAGGAGATCAAGGGCACCTCTGGGTGGGACACCAAGGCCTCACCTGCCCTGGGTCCTGTTCCAAACACAATATTGATGACACCTGGTGGAACACCTGTATGGGAAACAGGATATTTCCGATCACATGGAGTCTTTCTTTGCAAGTCCGATAGATCACGTGGAAGGAACATTTGATGGTTTTAATAACAACTGGAGCTTTAGCAGAGACCTGCAGTTTAATAGCAAAGCACAGACAAGAGAATCACCTCTGCCTATTGAACCCCCCGGGTGGGACTTCTGTAGATGCTTTGCCCTGGAAGAGTCAGGGCAGGACACATTCTACATAATTAACTTCATAACACTGACTATGCTTCAGAGATGGAGAGAGATCCCCAAGCAGGTCAAGTCCAGTGGGAATGCAGTGTCCTCCTCCAGTGGCAATGCAGGATGGAAACATTAAGTAGAGATGTGCTTATCTGCAGGGATGCAGAGATTGGTCATTTGGCCCAGGGAATCAGGGGAAGACTTTCCAGGAAAGGTGAGTCGTGAGTTGGAGGTTCTGCATCTCATAATTATAGACAGCTCCACTGCATTCTAAAACTAACTTATAAGTTCCAAGAACAACTCAAGATAAGTGTCTCAGTCTTTTCTGTCACCAATCCCATTGTCCTAAATCTACATGTATGTATTGACTTGTTTTCTGGATTAATTTCTTCATCGCTGTTCACTACTAGAAATTATACTAGCCAAAGACGCAAACAGAATCTGTTTCCTGCCCTAGTCTGGCACATTAGAACTAAACAGTAGATGGTCACATTTACTGGGTGCACAGCAGGGCTGCCAGGGCGATAACTGATTAACCATCCTCCTGCCTCAGAGTCACATTGTGCTATTTCATTTACCTGAAGTCACTCACAATCTGAAAACAGTATACACTTTGACTGTTTTCAGAGAGAAAAACCACAATTATACAACTTTTATTACAGCATATTGTTCTAATTGTTCAGTTGTATTAGTAGGTATTATTATCAATCTCTCACTGTACCTCATTCATAAATTAAAAATTTTATGGATATATATATATATATATATATATATATATATATATACAGAAGGTCTAATACTATCTACAGCTCTGAGTATTTACAAAGAGTCTCGAATATAAACCCCCACTGATAAGGGGTGACTACTGTACATTTTTAGGCCTCACAAAAATTCAACAAAGCACTTGATATTATCCTTACTTCACTCGTGAGAAACTTGAGGCAAAGTAAGGTTGAATTACAATCAAAAAGCAGAAAAACTGGTCAGAGCAGGATAGTAAATAACTATTGAGTAAATAAATGAGTACATGGATGCTTAGTTGCAAATTAGAAAGAGTGTGTGAACTTCAGAAGCTCCAAGGGTTCAAAAAAACCCTCACTTGTACAAGCAAGATGTGCTCAGAAGGTTCTTAAGAAGGTTCCTCTGGGGGAAGCTGGACTGAGGCCACTTGTTCAGGTGACTTAACTCCTCCAATGAGAAAGATTTATGTACTCTACTACTGTATACTTGGACTAAAACAGAACTTGTCTGTTCAGCATTAGAGTCATGTACAGATATTTTTACTGCTGTGATCAACTAATCAAGGAATCGGCCAGCCTACTTCGTTGTATTAATGAGTCAACATCCCCAGAAACAACTGATGTCTCTAAGATATAAACTTAATTTTTCACAATTGTGAAAGATGAAAGAAGAAAGAAAGAGAGAAGAGAGAGGGCGGAAAGTAGAGAGGGGAAGCTTTGACGAGGCCACTGATCTCCTTCCCTTGCCCTGGGTTAGATATTCGGCCCTTCTTAGAAACACTCTCTTGGGATTCAAAGCCCATCAGGACTCTGCCCTTAAAGTATAAATCATGACTTCACATCAGCGATCCACCATCATCCAGGATGCCCTTGCACGGGGCCAAGGCCTGAGCCTCTCACCTTGAGGTTTCTTTCCCCCAGGAGAGGTGGAAAGAGTCAAGGCCATGATGTGTCTGGCAGAGACGCACTTCTAACAGCCCCAGCCCCTGACTCAGTGTGAGGTTTATTAAGCCCAGCTAAGGTCAGTCTTGGCTTGTAGTGACCAGGGAACGCCTGCACCATGTGGGAGCAACAAAGTCTGGAAGGAGAGGCTCTGAGCGCAAGAAAACAGAGGCCAGTTTCACCGTTTCTTGGATGGGGTGTGGCCTCTCCACCAACCATCAGTGGAGTTGGATGTGGATGAAGGCTTGGGGGTTATTCACAGATTCTGAAGGCAAAAATGAGTGGAGTCACTTCTAACATTTACAGTGGCATTTTAACCCAAGATAAGGAAAAAAAATGCACAAATACTAGGAAAGTAAGCTCATTCCAGCAGGCTGATTGCTTCCCACCTGCAGTGCTAAAGTTTTGATTACGTTTCTTGGGGTCTGATGCTAATATGTTCAGAGGTGTTTGCTGGCTGTGACTTTTCAGTAACCATTCTGCCATTTGATCCACGCATTAATGAAATTTTTGTACAGCTTCTGCCCTCTAACCCTTAGAAGATTCCACTTATATGAGAAGGGAATCAGTTTAATTGGCAAACAGAAATTCAGCAAAACTCAGGTGGCTCTCAGGGAAGCAAAACAAAGGATTGTAAATTTAAGTAGATCAGTAAAATAAAATGAATGGAAAAGGCCAAAAAGCCATAGCTCATGGAATCTCTAAGACTGATGGCAAATATTTAGTATCCTCAAGAAGAAAACAAAATATTCTAATGTTCCCGAAGAAATATCCACTGTGTTCTTCTCACACGATTATAGTTCAAAGGAAGGTCATGGATCAGGATACACGCATTTCAGAACCACAGGACCTGGCTTTTCAAATATTCCGAATGTATTAGCTGTTCATTTTCACTTTTTCCCCTTGTCGTCCAAAAGTCCTTGCTGCAGTGTTGTAAAGTAGGATTTCATACATATCCCCAACCCCAATCCCCAGTCCTAGTGGAGAAACCAAGAGGCTCCATCCCCCAGGAGAGGTGGAAAGAGTCAAGGCCACTGAGCTAAATTCCCGGCAGTTCGAGCAGAATTATGCTCACATTGCTTGTCAGGAGGCGGATGCTTTGTAAAGCCAGCACGGGGAGAAAAGAGGGCTGCCTTGGTATTTCGGGTCTGTGAGCTCACAGGAAATAGGGTCAGTGTTATGCAACTAGGTGGAAATGGAAAACTCTCATACAGAGCAGGCTCTGGGATGAGTGGTAAAGGAACAATACTCATCATAGATCACAGCATGGCTCCACATCAACCTCCACGCGTCCTTTTCCCTACCTGGGATCAAAGCAGAGGAAGAGCCCTTGCTACAGTCTGGCTCTGGAACATCCTCCGAAGCCCCATGAGTTGAAGGCCTGCTTCCCAGCCGGTGGTGCCACCAGGAGGTGGTGATCCCAGGAGGTAGGTCATGGAGGGTGTCCCCAGAGCGAATATTGAGATCCCTCTTCTTCCTGCCTGTGCTTTCTGTTTACAAGGCCAGCAGCTTGCTTTGCCATGTTCTCCTGCCATGACAGGCTGCTTTGCCACCAGCCCAGAAGCAAGGGAACCAGCTAACCAAAACTGTGCAGTAATCTACTGTTCTTCTTACTGGGTTGGTTTATCTCAGATATTTGTTACCATAATGAAAAGCTGACTAACACAGCTCCAATCCCATCCTCCACTGGAAACCTGCAGTCACCAACCCAAGAAGAAATGTCTTGCACATTTGCACACACCAGACACTCGATTTTGGAAAGCATGGGATTAGAACACGGTGACTTTTGTAAGAGAGGGCTGAGACCTTCTGAGCATGGCACATGTAGTCATGTACTCGCCCAGAGGCCTAAGGCATCGCAGACACCATCCTGAAGACCTGGGTTAGGAGGCCTGATTCCGCTGTGGGGAGACCAAGTTTGAGGCCACGCCTTTTCCTAAACAGGCACCATTTTAGCCTATGCCTTAAATCATAATGAACTGACTAAACTGCCGGGAATTTAGCTCAATGGCATAAGCGCCTGCCTGGCAAGCACAAGGTTGTGAGTTCAAACTCCAGTACAGGAAAAAAAAGAAAAAAGAACTGGCTAAACTTCTCTGGAACCTAGTGTGTGTGGTTTTGCTTTAATAGCAAAAGTATCCAACAAAAAAAAAAAAAAAAGCAGAGTTTGACTCCTGCCCACTGCCCATTCTGTGGCTATAGGAGAGTGCAAAAGAACCTTTCCCATGTGCTGAAAGGTGGTAAGTACAGCAGAAGGTGACACATCCAGAAGGATGGTAATCCTGTCCCCACCGTCCAGACATCATTCCCCCAGGCTTTAGCAGGAGATGAGCAGAGGGGCTCCTTATCATGGGCTTCCTGCTGGGCTTCCTGTCTATTCTCTCCAAATATTAGTGCAGAGTCAGGCTGTGCCTGTATGAGTTACAACCCAGAACAAAGTCCTAATTATTGAACTATTAACTTTGAATTATTAAACTATTAGTAGAAAGAGGATAAGGAGCAAATGCAATACGCTGGCGATCAGCCATATCCCATCCGCTTCTGAGGAGTGGTCTCCCGTACGGAGGATTGAGACATGTAGAATCAACTGCCTTAAACATGGCTATGTCTACCAAAGATTGTATAGCTCTACAAGCCACAGGAGTACCCAGCTACATTTTTATTTTCATCACGATTAACTTGTGGCTCAAACCTAAGATTTAAATTAACTCTAGAAGTTACTACCAGGAGTGAATTGATGTCTTTAGTTTCATTGAAACTGTTAAGCCTTGCTGTAGTTTGGATCTGAGATGTTCCCTAAAGGGCCATGAGTTAAAGATTTGGTCTTCAGCCTGTATCACCACCGGGAGGTGGAAGAATTGTAAAGAGGTGGGGCATAAAGGCAAGCAGTTAAGTCACCAAGGCTGACCACGAAGGGATCATGGGATGCTGGTCTCTCCCTCTCTCTTCACTTCCGAGCCAGGGCTATGTGCACAAGTCTCCCCCACCATGCATGCATTTGCACTGTCCTATACTCTGCCACATAGGCCTAAAGCAATAAGGTCAAACTGTTGTGGGCTGAAGCTTCCAAATCTGTCAGACAGAAAATGTCAGCCAGCTTTCTTATTGCTGGAACAAATAGATAATACCTTTAGCTTAAGGGAGGAGAGGCTAATCGTGGCTTTTGGGTTCAGAGGTTCAGTTCATGGGCAGCTGCCTCCACAGAGCACTGTGATTGCGGAAGGATACAATGGAGCAAAGCTGCTCAATTCTTTGCAGCCTGGCAGCAGAATACAGTGTGTAAGTGCCAGGGAGAGAGAGATACCTTGCACAGGCAGCCCAGTGACTCACCTCTGACTGGGCCCTGCCCCCTACAGCACACTGAGCTATGAACATCAGTAGATCAACACATCGGGGAGTGAGGATAGTCCCCACTCACTATGAGCCAATCATTTCTCCAGGAGCCCCTTAATCTTGTCAAGTTAAGATTAACTCACACAACAAAATTTTCCTCCAGCAACTTTGTCAGAGGTATTCATTGCAATAGTGAAAAGCTGGCTTATGCGAGCCTGTAAGATTGTTATGCACATGCACCGCCAGCTACTCTGCAGCAGGGCCATTCGGGTTTGAAAAGAAGGAGCAGTGCGGGGCTGGGGATTTAGCTCAGCAGGCATAAACGCCTGCCTTGCAAGCAGGCAGTCGTGGGTTCGATCCCTGGTACCGATAAAAAACGAAAAAGACAAAAAAAAAAAAAAAAAAAAAGAAGGAGCAGTGCAAGAGAATCCCGTGTGAAGGTGAAGAGGATTTTCTAGGAAAGCTCAAAAAGACAAAGTCCAAAGATGTCAGTGGAATGGATTTTGCTGCTAAATGGAACATGTCCATATAACTTTGCTCCAACTCTACACCTCCTCCAACCCAAGCAGCTCATTACCTGCTTTGTCCAGGAGCTTGCACAACATCCACGCGGTCACTGAAGTCAGCTCACTGGGCTTGGCTATCACGGTGTTCCCGGCAGCAATGGCGGGAGCGATCTTCCAAGTCAGCAAGTAGAGGGGCAGGTTCCAAGGGCTGATCAGCCCAGCTAAAGGACCACAAAAGAGGTGCGGCCATGGTGACATGCTCCTCAGAGGCCAGGCAGGGTTCCTGAAGCAGAACTCCTGCTTTAGAAATCTCATTTCCCCTTAAAAATTCCAAACTTGGCTCAGTTGTAGCTAACCTAAAGGAAATCTCCCCAAAATATGTGATGGTACCCAGTAAAACAGAAAGATCAATACAATGGAGCCACTTCACAATGGCTCGTGATTATAGACAACAGTAATGTAAGGTCCAAAGCTGAAAGACTTGTCACCAATCACTAAACAGTTCCATTTTGAGATGTATAAACTGATTTTAAAAAACAGTTCTCTTCTCATGATTGAGCTGTGCAGCTGTGGTTTCTTCTAACAATTTTCTCCACCTCTGCTTCTCAACTGCTGCAGATTAAGACATAAAATCTCAAGCTTCACAGAATTATTTATGAAACTAGAGCAAAGCAATTCCTCCTGGTCCTGATGAGAGCCATAGACTCAGTAAAGTCAACAAACCTTAACTCATAGAGCATAAAGTACAGTTTAGTTATAAAGAAGATTTTTAAATGAAAATTCTTTGCGGATTCTCACCTGCATCCTGACCAGATACTTGTTAGATAAGTAGTACACCTAATATCTAGAGTGTGTCTGCACTCTAGATATTCTGAAACTGCGCAGTTTTCCAACCATAGCAAAACTGAAAGCTACATTATGAATAAGGTAATAGATTTGCTTTTTTTTACTCTGCCCTCAAACCTTCGCTAAGAAAGTAAATGTCTATTTTATAGTGTTAAATTTTCCATACCATTTCAGCAAAGTATGTTCACATATTTCTTAGGAGGAGGTGGATAAAGATTTCCATAATGCCTTGAAAATATTATTTCTGAAGGATTCAAAGACTCAAAACAGTGAAATGTCTCCTATGTTCTTCTTTCACATGCGTTATAAAAATGTAACCTGTGACGTATGCAGTTTCTTCTGCGAGGAAACAGCGGCATCTAGTGGCTATATTTAGTCATAGCAGTCATTTACGTGTTCCTTCAAAGGTCAAAGGGCAAGCAAAGAAGTAAGTACATCATTTTCGCTCTAGGCTTATTTATACCTGGCCAAGCGCCCTACGCTTATTAATTAAGAATTTAATTTATATATCTTATTAAAATATGCATAAAATTAAATAAAAAATTTACCTCAATTTTTCAGGAGATACAAAGAACACACAGAATTTAAGCTGTGAATTCTCCATCAATTCCAGAGCACTTTCTGGATTTTTTTTTCTTTTTGTTAATTATATGTAGTAGCATTTTTTAAATGCTGGGATCTGAATTTACTCGTGGTATCATTCTTTTCTCTGTAATTTTTCCAAGTTAAAGTTCTAGCTACAAGTAAAGAATTTAAACGCAAAGAAAGTTAAGGAGAAACAGATTTTTGAGGTCAACACATTTTCACTAGTCTGTTCCTTGAGACAAACCTACAGAATTTTCCGAGCATCTAGATGCATAATCACGGTGTGCGGGCTTTCCGCGGACAGCACCTACCGATTCCCACGGGAGTCCGCACCGTGTAGTGCAGGCAGCCCAGCTGGTCCATCTGTGTGCACTCTGTCGTGTGGTGCAGGACCGAGGAAGCGAAGAACCGGAAGTTCTGTACAGCCCGGGGGATGTCCACGGTTCTTGCCATCGTTAGGGTTTTCCCTGTGGGAAATCAACAGCTCACAGCTCTGCGGTGTGTTGCATGGAGCAGTGGAAACCCTCCCTGCTGCCACCCCACATACACCCCACGGAGCTCTCCCTGGTCTAGCCTTGGTGTCTTCCAGCTTGGAGGAGACATTCTTTCGCCACCATGAGTTGACTATAGTTGGGTGAAACTATAAGACAACCAGGTTTGCGGTTATAAAATGAGGTAGAGGGGCTAACGTTGACCCAGATCCTCTTTGCTTTGCAGGCGAACACTTTCTAGCTCTTGCTGTGAGCTTTCCAGATGCTACCACTTCACACACACACACAAGCTCTGCCATTCAAAATCCCCAGGCTCCCCAAATGCTGTGAAAGGGTTGAAGTAAGGGTTGTTGACACAGTGGTGCTTGCGCATCGTGTGTAAACACACGAGGCACGTGAAGCCTTCTCCCAACACGTGGAGGAGTCATTAGAAGGCTGCAGGACGGCACATGATGCTCTGTGCCGCCTGCTCCACTGTCACATGCCCAGGCCATCCTGGGTCCCGGAGGAATAAAAGGATGCTCGTGACCCAGTGCCCTTCAGTAATGGAGCAGGACTCTGCAACCAGAAAGACCAGCATTTTCTTGCTAGGGGCTTACCCTGAGGCTGTTTCCTAATTTTAGGTTGGTTTATAACACGCATAAGGTTTTAAAGCTCTTTGCTTTTCTTAACAGATATTATTGCAAAGATTTACACATATTTATTCTCTTCCCTCACCCTTTAAAGGTCTGGAACAGCCGGGAGACTGTGTTGGAAGTAAACTAGTGACTGATACACTAGAAAACTTTTAAATAGCTTATGAGCTTGGTTCTGAGATCCTCTACTCAGTGTGGGTGGAAGCTTTCACGATCAGCTCTGGCTCCTGTCTTCCTCTGCCCTTTGCCACACATCTTGGCAGTTGCTTTCATCGAATCATAATGTACGTCCTGCCTTTTGACTTTGGATTCAGCCACTCTGAACGGGGCAGGAGTGTGCCAGTGCGAGCCTGGACCTCGTGAGGCCTTAGGTGCACACTTGAGGGACGGCCTTGCATCCTAGGAAGAATCACAAATATCCTGAGTCTCACTCATTAGATTTAGGGTGCAGACCATCATCTGACACACAGGAATGAGGGTGGCAGTGACCAGACTCTGTGTCACACATTGCTGCTTTCATGGGGGTGTCGTAAGAGACACCTGCACTCAAACCTCGGCTCTGCCAGAGACAGCACGGAAGAGAGACAAGTCCTGCGGATGCGGCTCACACCTTGGTCTTTAGATTCCGCCTGGGCCAGCTCCTCCAGGGACTGCTCCAGCAAGTCGGCCAGCCGGCTCAGCACCTGTGCGCGCTCCTGGGGGCTCCGGGACGACCAGCCAGGAAAGGCCCCTCTGGCGGCCCGGACAGCGGCTTCAATCTTGAGGAAAAGACAGGAGAAGGTCACACCAAGCTGCTGCTCCGGAGAGGCTGCAGGAAGAGTGACTCCCCACGACCCTACACATGTGACTGTTCTTTTTTCAATTACTCAACATGCCCCGATTCTGAGCTACCTTGAGTAGTCAGCACAGGTGTTTATGTGAGTCGAGACACCACACAAAGAAAAACGCTCCACTTCCACCAAAGAATCCGGAATGAATATTGTGTGCAGAAGAAACATGGTCTAGAGGTATAGGAGCGCTAACATCCAGCTCCAACATTTCACGAAGGCTAAAGTTTTGTGTGAAATCATATCTTTTGACTGTCGTTAGCACTTACAGCGATTAATTCTATTATTGACTAAATTTTATAGCTAAGAGAGTGTGACTAACTGCACAAGTATTTCATTTAACCTCTTTTAAAATCCTGTCCCTCAAGTATTTTATGCTCATTTTACGTGAGGAAACTGAGGAACAGAAAGTTCAGGTACCTTACTACAGGGGTAGTAAGTGGCAGAATCGAGATTCATACCCAGTTGTTGGTGGCATCCAAGACCACACTCTAACAGACTATGGCATAACCACTGTCTCTGCTCCCTGCCAACAGAAGGGGTCTCTGTTGGACAGCGGTGGATCTGAAGTTGAACAAAATCCTGGGGTCCAGTTTTGGGGCTACATCCAAGAGGAAACAGCATGTGATAATGTATGTGTAGAACCAATTTAGGACCAAAATGAATCTTTCAGTGTTTTTCTGCCTTTATCCCCTCTTGGGCAATGTTGAGGCTATCCCTTTTGCAGAAACAAGAAATCCATAGCCCATGTTTTAATCCTTTTCTCTCACATGCATGATGACTGATGATAGTCACAGCTGTCTTCTGCCTCGGGGCCCCAGCTCGGCCCCCTTTGCCGGGAGCTTTAGGCAGCCCTGAGCAGCTTTCTTGTCACATGATCTGAGCATCAGCCTCCTGACCCTGTGCCACCCCATGCATCGAAAGCTGATCTATATCTTTTTGTTTCTGCAAGGAAGAAAGTCACTTTCAGCTGAGCTGAAGGGGTAAGATTAAAGTTAAGAGGACTGATGAAGTGCCTCAGTGGTAGATCACTTGACCAAAACAAGCAAGAACCATGCTTCTTCCCCAGCATGGAAAAAGAATAAGAAAGATTTGAAAGATGGTAGTTTCATCTCAAAGACCAAATGTTTATCTTAGACCCGTAGATGGGATGAGGGAAGAGACGTGGGCTCTGATGCTGTCCACCTCAAGATGCAGTGTGGGGAAGTCCATGGCTGAGCAGCCACATGAACCTTAACTCCTACAGTGGTCAGTTTAAGAACTGATCGTTAGCTATTCAAGTCCATTCGTATTCTCTACGCTGTCCCGCTTCACACATCTCACGTACACAATACGGAATACATATTAATCTACTACACACTGATACTTAGAAAGTGTTTACTATATACTAAGCACTACAACAGTCCATGTTAGTCTATTTAATTCTCCAAATACTAGGAAATAGGTGTCATTAATATTCTCATTTCATAAGTGGGTAGAGAGAAGCATGAAGAAATTGAGCTCTAAATCAAAGCCACAGACACCAAGTGGGGAAGATGGTCTTTGAAGCCAAGCAGTCTAACTCCAGTATGTTTATGGATGCAATACTCTCATACAAAGGGTTGTAACAAAGAGTGTGTGTGTGTGTACATGCATGTGTACATGTATGTGCGTGTCCACTGACCCGTGCATCAGAGTTGGCAGTGTCAGCACACTGGGGTCTGCTGGATAAGAATGATAGTAGCCTCAACTTTCTAGGTTGCTGCCACTTGCTCTGGGTTAAACAGCTTGGTGAAAGTGAGGTGCACCAGTGAAGCTGAATAAATGGCAGGGCCTGGGGGCAGCACAGGAGCACGTTCTGTGGAAGAGTGAGAACTTTGCATGTATTTTTATGGTCACTATTTTTTTCAATCTAAAAAATATGGTACTTATGGGATCAGATTGGGGTCATTGTGAGTGGGATTTCTGAGAAGTAAACATTACTTGTTACTGTAGGAACAACTGATATTTTCTGTTTTATTCTATTTTCTGAAAAGGTCCAAGACATTAGCTGTAGAAAATACTCTATCTGAATTTGGCTTATTTGTCATTTTAACTTCACCTGGGAAAACACTGGGAGACCAGGAAGATTCCTCACATTACAGTTTAACCAGTGAATTAGCCAATATTTGTGAACATTAATCCACAAGTCTAAAGGGTTTTTTTTTAATGCAAAACAGACTTGAAATTTTAACAGAGAAAAATAACTGAGTTCTTAAAAAACGTTGCATATAATTTTTAATAATATATGAAGGCTACAACTGTATGTTAAATAGCCTAGTTCTCTGTGTCTTAAAAGAATGATTCTAATCCACTAAGCATTAGATGGCTGTGCATTTGTCAGTGACATTTATCCCCCACATATATTTACATTCTCAGCTTAATAATTGATAACTAATCAAACATGTCTCAATATTTTATAAAATTACCCAATTAAAAATAGTTCTTCAGCACTAAAAGAAAGCATAATGCATGTGACATCAAGCACTTTGAATAATAAAAGTTAAATCTAAATGCAAAAATATTACACAAGAATTTGATTTTTAGTTTCAACATTCAAATGTTTGAGTTTGATACACTAGGTATTTTGAAGACACAAGGAATTATTACAGAATGATCACTGGCACATTTTTTAAGAAATCTATGGATCTAGTGGCAAATTTATGTGACACTTGGTCTATAAAAGGATCCCCTTAAGAATAGTGATAATTCTTACAAATAATATTTCGTACCATACACCTATTAGAGTCAGAAACTTAGCCCCCAAAATGTTACACATACAAGTGTGTGTTAGTTTGGCTAGAAAAACGGCTTGCTTCTGGATATAGGAGGAACCTTACAAGAAAACGTCCTTAGAATCTTCCTTCCACTAGCATGTAACAATTCTACACTTTCTTGCAAACTCTTTTGCTTTCAGAAAATCAAGTTACCCAGAGCTTGCCAAAATACTAAGTAGATTTCAGTCTTCTCCAAGTGAATGCACTCACCTCATCTTTCCCACTATTTGGCACCTTGCAGTACACTTTCCCTGTGGAAGGATCGTAGGAATCTATATATGAGTCACAAGGTAAAAATTTCCCATCTATGAAGTTTTCCAGCATCAAAAGTTCGCCTGGTGCAGCCATAGTAAGGAAAAATGCAGCCTTTCGCCTTCCAGTTGCTCACTGGTGTTGGTCCCACGACTTTGCCCTGTTCCTGAGTTAGTCTCTTTGCCAGCCCCAGTGTCCTCATTTGCCAAGCAGGGAAAGTGGGAGGAGCCTCATCCTCAGCGTCCAGATTTCAAAGCTCTCACACATTTCACAGACTTCCAGCACATTGTGAGAAACGAACAGTGTTCTAGTAACACCAACTTCCATGTTCATAGCCTTTAAATTCATCAAAAGGCATCTGTATGATTTAATTGGATTCACATAGAAAATTGTCCTTTACTCAAACATTTTAAGTGCCAAAATATAACGAAAGTCCTATTCATTAATGTAGGCACTTATTCCACACAGTGATCCTCTAGAAAGTGACTGTTACTTCTTCTCTTTTGTAGAAGACACTGAGATTAGACAAGCAAGAGATAAACTTTAGTTCTTTGGTCTTCAAGTTGCATATTACTGCCTTGTCCCTGGAGACACAATTGAAGATACATGTCCTCTCTCCATTGCTTACCTGGGATATTTTTCACTTTAGCTGCAGTTTGCCTGAAAAACTGCCCCTCCACCACCTGGAATGCATAGCACCAAGATGCACCGAGAGCCTGTGTTCTGACCCAACCTCACACCTGAGTGCCAGTGGCTTACAGACCTCAAGGCCTTCTCCAAACTTGGCCCCAACCTTTCCCCCTGAAGAGACAAAGTCCTGTATCTGATTCTCAGGGCAGAGACCCTACCTCCAGGTAGTTCCATCTGCCTCACGTTTGCCTCTGCATCACCTGAGCCCTTTGGGTAGACTCTACCTGCTCTGCAGCGCACAGTCTAGCAAAAAACTGGCCTATTCTTGCCGTCCCCTGGAATTCACTACTACCCGCAGATGAGCCACATCCCATTGGAGCAGCTGGGCTGTACTCACCATAGTCTAGAGGGTGGCTTTAATGCGAGGTCCTGTAGTCAGGACAAGGACTCAAGACTTTGATCATTGGTTTATCTCCTGGTTCCTCATCCCTTGCTCTCTCCTGGCTCTTTCTACCTGTGAGCTTTAGCTTCTTCAGTATAATATCATGTAAGCAATATAATATAATAAAGTTGTAGAAGACTCTTCCATGGCTATCTTCCTTTGTCATTAAGCTTCCCCTTCTGCTGAAAACATTGTATTGACTGAGACAGCATGAATGCATTATTATTACAAGGAGGACTGTTCTAACTTACATGTGGCAGGATGTTCCTTTTTCCTTTACCCTCCCACAGTATTCTTAGTCTCAATCCTATGAGAAAGAAATATTGTGGCAAAATCACACATTAGAATTATGCTGCAAAAGATGATCAGTATGAAACACTAGGTTCTTTTGTGGTATGTGCTGTGCTCCGGGATAATTTGGGAATTTTATTAGTCAGGTTTCCCATTGCTGGTACACAATGCCTAACAACTATGACTTAAAGGACGAGAAATCTAATTTGGCTCACGTTAAGGGATTCAGTCCATAGTAGGCTAACTCGGAAGGCAGAAATGAGGTGGTGGAAGGGCATGACAGAGGAAAATTGCTCGCTCTGTTGCAGCCAAGAAGCAGAAACAGAAAGCAGGATCCAGAGAGGCAGGGAGACCTCCTCTAATGACACACTTTTTCAACATGGCCCCACCTCTAAATAGCACCTCTAAATAGCTATGTACTCATCAGTGGGTCAATCTGAATCAAACACTTTCTACAAGCCCCAACTCTGGACACAGGAGACTTCTGAGGGACATCCTAAATATAAATGATAACAGATAATGAGTCTTTGCCCTCAAAGTTTGAGCTCAGAATAGGAGCACTGGTGTTGACCCTGGAATCCTATGGGTCTCTACCCAAGAAAAGTGATATGATGGTTGCAGAAAACCCAACACAAAGGTAGAACTGGAGACTGGAAAACCTAGGATGTGGGAGGAACAAGAGAAAAGAGATATGCTCAAGAAACATGGGTATGAGGTTCGGTTTCAAAAGTGAACCCTAATATATAGGTTTATATTACATTCGGCCATTTGAGGAAATGTTAGAAGCCCTCTGTGCTGGACACAACAAATCTTCTCTAAGGTCCACGTCTTGTCTCAAGCGTTCTGTATTCACTTTGCAATTAGTTGAGGCTATGTGGATAGTTCTGACCTGGGACAAAGGGTAGAAAGAAACAAAGCCTGATGTTCACAAAAAGGGGTTTTTTACTCCAGCAAGAGCTACTTGTATCATCCAAGAAAGGTCATGGAATTTTTCAAGCACATTTGGAATAGAAGGAGCACGAAACTTAGAACATGGACATCTCAGCCTGTGCACACAGCTTTTCAGGAATGGGGCTACAATTCCACTATTTCATTCTTCACTTTGGAGGCATCTTTGTCTGCCCAGACAGCAGTTCTGAGATCAAGAACACAGGATAGATGCGAAGACTTTCTAATGTACTTTTACGGTTCTATGGATTATTTATATTATTATTATTATTTTGTTTATATCAAATAATGGAAATGTAAAACTGTGAAAAATGGACCTTTTAAAGAACATTTGGTATTTACAGAAACCAAGATCCAGCTTTTCATTGTTAATATCTTAACTCAGCATAGCTTTACCACAATGAATGAACCAGTGGTGATATATATATTTTAATCAAAGTCTAGAGTCATTTTTTGTTGATTTTTACCTAAAGTTCTTCTGATGGAGAATCCTATTCACAACATCACACTGCATTTGCTCCTCTTGACAATAAATTCCTCAGATGTTCCTTGGGTTTGATGACCTTCACAAGTTTGATGAGTATTGGTCAAGAAACCTATATGATAAGCCTGAATTGGAACCTGTGTGATGTTTCTCTCATAGTTAGACTGGTGTTAGGAGTTTCTGGGTGGAGGACAGAGAGGAAGTGTCCTTCTCACCTTCTCATTACATGCATGGTTCCCACAACCAGCATGACCTCACAGTTGATGTTAACCTTCAGCATTTGGTAAGGTAACACATAACAGGTTTCTCCACTTTAAAATTATCCTTCTTTTTCAACATTTTCCTGCAAGAAAGAAGTTACTGCATTCAACCCACACTAAAGAATGGGTAGTAATGTTCCTCCTCTTTAAGGACAGAAGAATATCTCAATAAATTGAAATGTTTCTTCTAGGGAGATTTGTCTGTACTCTCCACTGCTTTACTTATTTACTCCATAAATTATATTAGTATGGACTTATACTTCCTGAGACTCACTTTGTTTCTTTTCTAGGTTTCTGTAGTGAAATAACTAACTTTTCTCTAGTAGATAATAAAAATAAGGCTGTATTTATTGCTTTATATCATATGCATTTATAATGCGCACCTACACAGTACACACATTTACAAATATGTATGTTATATATTTGCATTACATATACACATTATATGTGATACGTATATGCGTTACACTTTTTTACTTTGATTTATATTATTTTGCATTTCACAATCATTTGTGGTAACATAAAAAATATTCAAATACGCCAATTACAGTAAGTTGAAGGGGTGAAAAAGGATATATTGGGAATGGACAATAAAGGCTTGCAAAAAAGATAAAACCAGAGATATAGTTTATAAAATGTCTGACTTACAATGCTTGGACAATTTTGAGGCTGAATCTCAAACTTTGCTGTAAGCTTTCTAAGTAGCCAAAACAAAGAGGAAGCCATTAGTATAGCTTTCTGATGGTTTAGCAAATATTGTAGTATTTTCATTTTTTTCCTGAATAATCTTAAATATTTTCCTTGCCATTAGCAGTTATATAGGCATATTTTTACACTTTCCATTTGAGGTATTGTTTTTTAAACAGTGCACCCTTTTACTGCACTGAACCTGTGAATATTATTCTGTTGATAACCTGAAATCTTCCTTAGTATGAATATATTGTGTATTTGCAAACAAGTTTAAATAAATAAACCTCACAACTACAGTTCCTCAGATCACAGTGCTGGTGCAGTTTGCTGCTTCCCATGGGGCTCTACAGGTGCTCCATAGTTTCAACATGTTTTGTTGAAATCATGTTGGTTCGGGGCTGGGGATTTAGCTCAGCGGCATAAGCACCTGCCTTGTAAGCAGGCAGTCGTGAGTTCGATTCCTGGTACCGATAAAAACGAAAAAGACAAAAAAAAAAAAAAAAAAGAAATCATGTTGGTTCAACTCTCGACTTCTGGGCCTTGAGGCCTAGTTTTTTGTTAGTGCATAAGATTTATATTTAACACCAAATTTCCAACTTATTTATATTCTGTGAGAAGTGACTATCAGAAAACATAGATTCTTGAGTCATTCCTATGTTCCCTTCTCTGAAATGATTCTGAACTGACAAATAACCAAACTTGCAAACTATCCAAAGTTCACATGACATTTATTCGCGCATTAAGCAGAGTAACTTAGGAAGATCAGACATAATCAGGCAGCTACAGTACAAACAAGGAATGAGTAGAGACATTAGACAAATCAAACCTCAGCACAATTTGATGCATCAGTGTGATGTGGGCTGGGCTGGCCTGGTCGAGAGCTTTTCTTGTATAGACAGAGAGCTGTGGCTTGAATGTTTGTGTCCCTTCAAAATTCATGTTGAAAATTAACCCACAGTGCAGCCGTATTAAGAGGTGACCTTTTAAGAGCTGATTAGGCAATGACAGTTTTGTCCTCATGCCCTCATGGAAGAGCTGGAAGTTGCTTCCGTGTCATGTGGAGATGCTGCAATGTGCAGACTTTGAAGCAGAGAGCCCTTACCACACTGCATCTGCAGCACTCTGTCCTTGCACTTTTTAGCCTCTAGAACGCTAAGGAAGAAAATTCTCTTGTTATAAACTAATTACCTTGAGGTATTTTGAGTAGCAGTGGGGCAGGGGGAGAAACTGAGAAACAGAGCTTTGGAGAGGTGGCTACTGCTTGTGCACACCTTGCCGATGCCATGGGCAACCAAACCCTCTTACCGGTTAGTACTGACTTTCTTTAACTCTGTGAAGGTGTATTCTGCTACTTCTGTCTTCCATTCTGTTGTTCACTTGTGTTCCTTTGAGAGTTTGGCTT